TAGAATACTTGGGAAGCAGCCTCTTCCACCTATTGGAGAGGTCTTCTCAGAGGTTCAGAGAGAAGAAAGCAGACGGGGAAATATGCTGGGCAAGGTAGCTACCTGCGGAAAAGACGGATCACTGGAAGGTTCAGCCTTGGCTTCCTCCGAAGACAAGAAGAGCCATGTTCCTGCAATAATAGTCTCCGAGGCAAATGTAAGTAGAATCCCTGTTAACTTGTGAAGATTAGATGGGAAATCCCGTATTTGGTGTGATGTCTGCAACAAACCCCGTCATACACGGGACACCTGTTGGAGGATTCATGGCCAACCAGCTTCGTTCAGCCTCCTATAGCTAATGAGGCCACCGCTTTCCCTTTCAGCAAAGAACAACTAGACCATCTTCTGCAACTTCTTCAAGCTGGGCCCGTATCGGGTAATCCTACTGCTTCGATTGCCCACCAAAGTAGAAATCTCAACGCCCTCTCCTGTTGTTCGCAACATGTACCTTGGATCATTGATTCAGGGGCATTTGACCATATGAATAATATATTCTATATTTGTTCTCATCCTATGTTCCTTGTCTCGGCAACCAAAAAATTCGGATTGCTGATGGGAGTTTTTCGTCTATTACAGGCAAAGGATCAGTTCCACTTTCTGATTCTATTATACTTCATAATGTACTACATGTTACTAAGTTAGCTTATAACCTATTATCTGTTAGTAAACTTTCTAAAGAGTCTAACTGTCATGTTGTCTTTTTTTGGTTCCCATTGTGAGTTTCAGGATCAGATCTCGGGGAAGACGATTGGCAGTGCTAGGATGAGGGATGGTCTCTACTATTTTGAAGAGTTTGTCTTTGATAAAAGAGTTCAGGTGTATGTAACTTTCAGTTCTTCCTTTGTTCAAGAAAAAATAATGGTTTGGCACCATAGATTAGGCCATCCTAGCATTGGATACTTGAAACATTTGTATCCCCGTTTGTTCAAAGGTGTGGACGTTTCTTCACTACACTGTGACAATTGTCTTTTTTTTAAAAATCATCGTACTCATTATAATCCAAAACAGTATCGTACATCATCACCATTTTATATAATCTATAGTTATGTTTGGGGTCCTTCACCCGTGCCAACAAAAATCAGGAAACGATGGTTTGTCACCTTTATAGATGATCATACCCGTTTATGTTGGACATACTTGATGAGTGCCAAGTCTGAAATCGAGTCCATGTTCAAAACTTTTTATCAAATGGTTGTGACCCAGTTCCGTACTACTATTAATATCCTTCGTATCAATAATGGTACTGAATATTATAACTAGTTTTTGGGGAGTTTTTTGAGAGAAAAAGGCATCCTTCACCAGTCAACTTGCCGAATTACACCCCAACAGAATGGCATTGCCGAACGCAAAAATCGCCATCTCCTTGAAGTATCCCTTGCCCTCGACTTTTCAATGCATGTACCTAAATACTTATGGGGGGAAGTTGTGTTAACAGCATATTATCTAATTAATAGGCTACCTACTTGGGTATTAAACTATACTACTCCCTTAGATTGTTCAAACAAGTGTACCCTATAGCCCGTATTTTTTTTTTATATTCCTCTAAGGGTGTTTGGTTGCACTGCATTTGTCCACGTCCCAATTCAGTATCGATCCAAATTAGATCCTCGGGCTGAAAAGTGTGTGTTTATAGGGTATGCACCTAACCAAAGAGATTACAAGTGTTACGATCCACATACTGGCAAAACTCATATCACTATGGATGTCACCTTCATAGAGTCACAACTATTTTTTTTTTCAACAAATCTCTTTAGGGGGAGAATGCCGAAGTTAGTAAAGAGATTTTGTGGTACTCAAACTCTCATGTCCTTCCCACTCTTTTGCTTGAGTCTTCGAAAACACCTTTGCCGAATCTTGATGTGTCAAAGATAAAGGGAGAAAAAGTTCAAGATCACAATGTGATCAACAAGCCCGAGCTTCAGGTTTATACTAGAAGAAAAACTCTTCAAAAGGTTGCAGATCAGAACTTTGTATTTGAGCCTCATCTGTCTGCCGCCCCGGGAGATGATCTCTTGCCTTCGTCATCAGGTGATCTTAGTAGTACTTTTTTTCCCTCCATTCCAGTCTCAAATTATGATACTAATACTTCTAATCTTGATATGCCTATAGCTCTTAGAAAAGGGGTTAGATCATGTACTCAGCATCCTATATCAAAGCATGTGTCATACCAAAAGTTGTCTCATCATCATAGAGCATTTATGTCAAACATGTCTCACATATCCATCCCTAGAAATATCCAGGAAGCTTTGAAGGATCCAAAGTGGAATATGGCAATTGAGGATGACATGCGGGCACTTATGAAGAATGACACCTGGGAATTGGTTGATGCACTAGAAGAAAAAAGATTGTTGGCTGTAAATGGGTATTTACTATAAAATGTAAACCTGATAGGAGTGTTGAGTGGTATAAAGCAAGGCTAGTGGCAAAGGGGTTCACTCAGACTTATGAAATTGACTATCAGGAGACTTTTACCCCAGTTGCCAAGATAAATTCTGTTAGGATTTTACTATCTTTGGCTGCTATTTTTGATTGGCCCTTGCACCAGTTAGACGTGAAGAATGCATTCTTGAATGGTGACTTGGAGGAGGAAGTGTTTATGAGTTTGGCATCAGGTTTTACAGAAAATGAAGGCAAAGTCTACAGATTGAAAAAGTCATTGTACGGACTTAAACAATCTCCAAGAGCGTGGTTTGAACGGTTCGGGAAGGTGGTTAAAAGGTTCGGCTATCATCAAAGTCAAGGGGATCACACTCTATTCTATAAACACTCAAAGGAAGGTAAGCGTGCCATTCTAATTGTCTATGTTGATGATATAATACTGACTGGTGATGACAAAGTTGAGTTGGAAAGCCTACGAGAGAAGCTAGCTAAGGAGTTTGAGGTTTAGGATTTGGGTGTCTTGAAATATTTCCTTGGAATAGAATTTGCGAGATCCAAGAATGGCATATTTGTAAACCAATGCAAATATGTGCTTGATCTGCTCAAAGAGACAGGTTTATTAGGATGTAAAGTGACGGAGATACCCGTGGAGCCAAATCTGAAACTTGAACCAACCAAGGCTGAAGAAGTGATAGATTGAGAAAGGTATCAAAGGCTTGTCGATCGACTTATTTACTTATCTCACACTCGACCTGACATAACGTTTGCTGTAAGTATGGTGAGCCAGTTTATGCACTCACCAAGGCCAAGGCATTATGAAGCAGTATATAGAATTCTACGCTACCTAAAGGGAAGTCCTGGTAAGGGTCTAATGTTTGAAAAACATGGACATCTGGAAATTGAGGTGTTCACCGATGCAGATTGGGCTGGAAGCATTATGGATAGGAGATCTACTTCAGGCTATTGCACATTTGTTGGTGGAAACTTAGTCACTTGGAAGAGTAAAAAACAAAGTGTAGTGGCAAGAAGCAGTGCCGAAGCTAAGTATCGATCAGTAGCACATGGTGTCTACGGAGTTATGTGGATTAAAGGTATCTTGGATGAATTACAGATCCCGAGTTCCACACCAATGAAAGTGTATTGCGATAATAAGGCAGCAATTGCAATTGCTCATAATCCTGTCTTACATGAACGGACAAAGCATGAAGAAGTTGATAAACACTTCATCAAAGAAAAACTCGATAGAGGGTTGATCTGTATGTCGTATATTTCAAGTGATGAACAGGCTGCTGACCTTCTGACCAAGGGTCTGCATAGAAGGCAATTTGTCCATCTAGTGGGCAAGCTGTTTATGGAAGATGTCTTCAAGCCAGCTTGAGGGGGAGTGTTGGAACATGTTACTTGCTAGCTGTAGAGTTAGCTGTCATAGATATTAATTAGTATTAGTTGTCATCTTGCTATCAGCTATTTATTAGCTTCCAACTACCTATTAAATAGGTTTCATCTCTAACTGGGTTTCTGATGTCTATAAATAGAGACTTATTGTAACAATAGAAAAAAAGTGAATACATTCGTCAGTATTTTTTCTTCAACAAAAACTAATACCAAACAGTCAACTTGTTATGCCTTAATTTGTGGAGATACTTGAAATGGGGTTCCTTTCTCTACCTGGTATTTTCTCCTAGACTGAGGGGTGAGAAAGGGCTGCCGCTCCATGATCGCTTGACGCTTGATGTCATTTTGAAAACGACAACTTTGCTTAGCTGAGGATAACAAGAACCAAAAATAAAACAACTGCGAACAAAACCCCAGAGGAACTTTGGCAGAAGATTGAGATTTCAAGAAGGGTTCTCCTGTTTTAGAAATTTTCTGACAAGACAGAGGCCAAAAATTTGGGGACCACAACGTAGGTACAGACGATAGAAAGGGAAACAATTACAGCAGAAAATCCAAGAACAGTGAAAATTCACTGGAAACCACAGGAACTTCCCTTGTACTATACATTATAGGTAGTGTACCTATCGTTTTGTTTGATGTGACGGGCTCAATTTGTTTAAAAAGACAAGTTAATTTAACAGCTCTAGCATACTTGGAAGGGCTTGTCATTTTTTTTATTCCCTCTCTCTTTATAGGGAAGGTCCGCCCAGCTGGTAAATCTCTTATTTTCTTTATTTTGCAAAATTTCTTATTTTCTTTATTTTGCGAACTACAGTAATTTGAAAATTATTTTCTTAATTTTAATCGTTGTTATCGCTTTTAAAATTAAACAGACGAAAATATCTTCATTGTTGACAAAAATAAATGTCTTGTCAAAGATTCTCGTCGGTTATGAAAATATTTTGCGTTTACTTGTTTTTTGGACAATAAGAAACCAAAATTGAAAAAAAATATATGAATTAATAATTTTTCATAAAGCAAATGGAGCTGACTATCATATCAATCATTCCAATTATTTGACCTAACATCAGGTGTCTTCGGTCAATTTGATTGCACCAGGATTTTCTGTTTTAGCTCCTTTCTTTAGCTAGGAGGATTTTTTGGGATGGCAACTTTTCAAAAGACAAACTTGAAAACAGGGTATATTGACATTGAGACATTCAAGAAACTTCTCAAGGGAAATGATTCGTTAAACCCTTTATTCCTGTACAACCATAGCAGGGTTCTACGGATCCGCATCCAATGATAATCGAGTCACAATGAGTTACGACCTCACACAAACATGCAACTTTCAACAAGAACCCAATCATTTGTCTTATCGTAAGAATGATGATGCAGGAATTTACCAAGAAATGCACATTTGAAAAGAACCAGATCTTTTCGGTTCCTTCCTCATAGACCTGAATTGTGGAGCGTGGCCATGATAGCTAATTCGCAAGAGGATCATAACATCCTACATTGGCTGCTTGCACAATCCTCTGATGTTCACGATTCAGTTCCCTTGCTCATCATAGGGGCTTTAGTTTGGTTGATTTCTAACTGCTTCGACCCTTCCTCAGGCAAACTCGTGGATTCATTCGTGTGTTCTTGATTAGGTCCCCGTCGGCTTTCCCATAGTTTCCCTGTCTTCCCAATTGCAAGAATCAGCTCGAGTTGTTTCTGCTGCTGATCCTGCCGGAAGTCAAAGAAAAACATTAGCAGTAATCTTAGAAGAGAGCATATCATTTTCTAAATGCGCGATTCCACTGCTATCGAGTCGTCCTGGGATGAATAATTTTATCTTTCACAATAAGTCAAGAGGTCTGGAAAGTCATTAAAAACCTGCATTGCCAGCAAAACCTTCTGAATTTCACCAAGCTCCTTTTCAAGAATGTCTTCTTGCATTGCCAATGCACGAGTAGCCTCTGAATTCTTTTGAGCCAGAACTGCAGCCTTAAGACAAAAAAAATATATCGTCAGATCAGATGCGACCCTTTCTAATGATTTTGGAAGCAAAGTTACTTCCTAAGGGAGATGCAAGAACTTTACTTAACTGGAAAGTAATTTTAGTAAATAGTTCGACTTTAAACACTCCATCTTGTCCCTTTTCTAACTTGTAGGCATTTCCACTATAGAGTCTGTGGCACCAGGTGGCCTACCATGGGTTCTCTCTATGCCAAAACAGCTTTTTTTGATCAATTCCTGGACCATTTGATGGATTAAAAATGCCCAATTCACCCATAAATCAGATCATTCTATTTTGAACATTTTTTATTTTCCTATCTGGTCATTTGCAAGTAAATACAAATCCTCAAGAAGTTCTACACACCAATTGTCATATATTACAGTGACTCCATATGATGCTGGTGCATTTCTCACTTTTGAACACCCCGCATTTGCCTGGCGAGAATGAATGTTTCCTGGCCTTTGAATCAAAGCAGGATCAATGATGGAGAAGTATGCAAAGATGTGCTCCAAATCAGTTCCTTAAGACAATGCAACAATATGCATGTTTCCAAGTGAGAAAATGATACATATAATCTTCTTCTAATCTCTTGGTCAAATAAGAGCAATAAAAAAAGAAAAACATAACAGCATGTGTTTGTCATAAAATTGACAGAGCCTCATTTACTTTACTAATCATAGTTGATCCACTATTCCAGGTACTTATTGGAAGTGATCACATGGATTTGTATTGACGGACGATATAATTCCAAAATTTGAATGAGGACGCATAGTTATTGGCCCAACTGCAGGGTTTCCTAGATACCTCCAACGAGAAGGACTGAATTTGACGAGTTCACACTGGAGAGAGCCAGTAAAAATGGTTACAACATCTAGATTACAGATACAATTCCCAAAATAGTCACTCTTTCAAATCTGCAAGCCCTAATTTACATGAGCCAGTACACCCTTCATGCCCTCACATAATTTTGCCAAATTGATTCATAATTCGCCATACCATGACATCAAGTATAAATTCCCTTCATTCCACTATGATGCGTGCATCTTCTTATACATAATCAGGCATGTCAAGCTCCCACCAATGTTGATTGGCTCAATTATTAAGCATTCTAGATCCACATTATCTGTAAAGATTTACATCCTCTTCTCTGGAACAACAAAAGGACGATCTCTGCCAAATGATTACTGTCCAATTTCCTAGATACTGCTTTCATCAATTACGAGATGATTTTCTTAGCCTCTTTCTGCAGAAGTAAATTAGTCGGAACCTATAGTGCCCGCTATCTCAAATTTGGTGCCAATTACTCCCAAAGTCTGGGGTCTAGTACCCCACTGCCTGAAACCGCATTTGCAGTTACAAGCTTTACGATGCTGTACATGTAGACTTAGTAGTCACATGCATTATGTGGAGCAATCGGACTAAGTTCAAGCTCATCACTAAAGTCTGACTGGGGGATACCGACATCAATAATGGGAAGGAACCAGAGGCGGAAAAGGATAGTTGAATGGGTAGGAGGAAAGACTTTTATTTCTGTTTGTTGAAGGATAGTTGATTTCTTGGAGTTGAGGGATACAGGGACATTCATGACTTTGAGTGTATTTTAGTTAGCGTCCTGCCTTCAATAATATCATCTTTATGCTCTCATGCCATTTGTCTCTCATTACTTTGCATTCTCGGTCCTGTACTACTATGTTCTACATTAACTTTACCTGTAGAAAGCAAAGGAAAACCTATCCATTCTGCATTAACTTTTCACTAGATCAACACGTAACATGCTTGGATCCGAAGCATGGCTCATTTCCCCAATTACACCGGTCAAATAATAAGTCCATAAATAATTAGATAGTTGAAGCTGAAGTCTCTAAGTGTTTGGTCTTTTAGCCTCCCTGGTAAATGAACGCACGCTGCAGGAAAATCTTCAACACTAGAGGTTCTTCGGTTTCACATGAACCATCAGGTAAGACTCTTGACCACATTCTTTTGGTTAGATAATTGGCAGCCTCATAGGCCACTCTTGCTTACATATTCGAGGAGTGTTGTACTTGCTTCTGGTTTAAATCTATAGATTAAAGTTTCTGAGCATCCTCATGGCAACAGGTGGAATTTGAGGTCTTCCAGAAAGGTAGTGTGAATGGAGATTCAACAACCATTGTCGAATGATATAAATGTTACCAATATCAATGCGTTAGACATGCAGCTGCTTCAGGTTGCCTCTCTATTTCAGCAGATGCTACAGTGACGAACAGTGAAAGTGCTCCAGTAATGAACAGCGAAGTGCTACAGTGATGAACAGTAAAGTGCTACAGCGATGAATATTGATTTGTCAGCCTCTTTCTGCTATAGCGTCGGCGCCGCTTCGGTCATGTGATCTTCTTTTGAGTGATTTTATTCTTCATCTTCTTCACTATCATCTACTATGGGATTAGCGAAGATGAAGAATAAAATCACTAAAAAGATCACATGACCAAAGTGGTGCTGACACTATAGCAGAAAGAGGCCAACAAATCACCATTAATCACTGTAGCACTTGTACTGTTCATCACTCTATAAAAGTCCGTCTCTTCACTTAAAAGACACGCCTTTCTTTCCCCATTTAGAGAAGTTTTTCTCTTCCTCTCCCTCTGATAGTTCTTCTTCCCATCCTAAAATCATCCCCTTCTACCTTTGTATCCGAATTACTTTGTAAGTTTTCTTAGTCACTTTAATCACTTTTCTATAAAAGGCAAAAGCAATATATAAAATAATAAGCAGAATGATAAAACCAACCATGTAGGTGGTATGTACTGATATTGAAATGATGAGAAAGTTATAGCGTAATTGAAAGTTACAGTAAGCTGAAAACCATCAACAAGGGCGGTAATCCGCACTCAAAGGGAAGTGTGATCTGAAGACTACTAAGTGATTAACCAACCATGAAAGGGTTGGTAACCTTACATGTAATAAAGAAAAGTGATTAAAGTGACAAAGAAAAAATTACAAAATAATTGGGATACAAAGGTAGAAGGGGATGGTTTCAGGATGGGAAGAAGAACTATCAGAGGGAGAGGAAGAGGGAAAGAACTTCTCTGAACGGGGAAAGAAAGGTGTGTCTCTTAAGTGAGAAGAGACGGACTTTATAGAGCGGTGAACAGTAAAGTGCTATAGTGATTAATAGGGATTTGTTGGCCACATTCTGCTATATATATCAAGCTCTAAGCTGTTGAAATAGAGAAGCAACCTGAAGCAGCTGCATGTCTAACGTATACACTCTTTCAGTCTAAAAAATTGTGTTCTTTAACATTGTCATGGTGGCAGAACCACGAGAATCTGAAAACCTAATCTGAAAGCCTAATCATAAACCATAAATACACCAACCTGAACCCTAATCCAAATCCATAATTCTGATAAACTAAACACCGATCAACACTCCTCCAATTAATTTGTGACAATTAGGCTGCAGTACATATAGCCTCTAATCCAGGGTTCCATGAGAGAACTAAACAAATCAAAGTTGATTGTCGCGTTATAAGGGAGTAGTTAATTTGTGGAGAAATTGCAACAGACTTGGTAAAGTCTATCGGTCAGTTTGACGATCTATTTACAAAGGCTCTTCGTGTAAAGTATTAAACTGGCTTCATATGAAAGATAGATTGAAGAAATGGAAGACGTTAGTATCATACAGATGTGTTCTTTGAGATCAGTTACCTGAGATCAGAGATTATCCAACTTTTGAATGTCCTTATTCAGCCGATGCTTTGCCTCATAGAATGTCACATGGTCAATGACGGAGTAGTTTCAAGGCGGGACGACAAGCTCAATTTGACTAGATAAAGATGAACATCTAAAGGAAAAGCTTTTCACATAACTGTTTTTAAATTAGCATGAAATTTCTAATTTGTCTTACTTGGAGATCTAGGAACAGGGGATCAATTGCAATGCTCAGGGTATCCGAGTTGTCCTTGATGCGAAAACCATGGTGAAACTTACATAAAGAGGTTTTAGCTCAGATTAGACCAAAGTGTCACTGATTACCATTGAGAACTATGTACAAGATGGAACATTTTATTTAACTTGAAACGATATATGAGGTTGTAGCAGGATTGGGGACCCCGCTTTAAGACTAAGCATTACTGATAATCATCACGTGTGAAAAGGAAAATGGTAATTATTTCTCCCCTTTCTCCTCTGCAACTCAGTCAAGACTTAAGTTGCAGGAACTTGGCACCAAGAAGGCATTGTCGGTCTCTCTCAAGGATGGAATAACAACAATGCTAACCAAGCCTTATCCCAATAGTGGACTGCTATGCCATCAGTTCTATTTCCTACCAACGGAAAGAATGGTAAAAAATCTAAAATTTCAACTTCACAGGGATTACAGAAAGGAGAAAAAAACAAGAATAAGTTGCAATGTGAAAAAAAAACCAATAATAAAAGGACAAGTCCTAAGGGAATCTAAGATGAGAACGAGTTGATCGACAGCAGAAGAGAGGAAAGTACAACTAGCAGCAAACAACTGAGGCAATGCCATTCCCCATTTTAAGGAAACTTAAGTGATCAACACCTACAGGCTTATGTCCTCCACGGCTCCTCTTTATGGACCTATACAATCATTCGCTCCTCCCCAACATTACTTCCACACACACAGCGAGAAATTGGGAGGAAAATGAACCTTCTACTAGATGCCTCCAACCGAAATTACACTCACAGAGGTTGAAAACATGTAACCAGGGGCATCAAATAGATTTTTCACATGAGTTTGTGTGTGCAACCTGTCCGCCCCTAGAGTGAGAGAGAGAGAGAGCACATAGATGTAAAGTAATTTCCAAGTCTCCAACTCCCTCAGAATTTCTCTACATTAGGCTGCCTCAGCGAGTTTGTTGACCAAGAGAAACCCAAACAGGAAACTAGAACAGTCCAGGTATACACCTCAGGATGCTACTATGAATTCATCATGTACAACATCACCAATTGAAGAAGTCTGCTCTTTCACAAATACACCGTCATGCCCCATGACATCACAATGCAGATAAAATTAAATATCATACGAAAAAGTTGAAAAACTATAAGTATGGGTGGATTTGAAGAAGCCTTTAGTGTGACATTGAGAATATAGAGTGGAGGGATCGTCCTACTCCATTCTATCCCTTCACAACAGATACATCTATGAATATAAACAATCAAACAGTACGATTCCTCGCTGTTATCTTGGGTGGAAAGAAAATGATATTGCTAATGAAAGAATAGGTGTTCTCTGTCTATCTTATTATCAACCTAATGGGTTCATAAGAATTGAGGAAGTCGTTGTGTTGAGAAGTTTGTGGATAAAGTGATGAAGAAATGGCTAGGAACTCTATCCAGGATGTTCTACTTATGTTCAAACGAGTAAACAACCAATGCCCAACAAAAGTGACCACGGAAGCAGCATTAGAATCTACAGGTCAGGAATACATAGACAATGCAGAGGCAACCTTGTATGTATTTTACCCATTATCCCTATTTTTGTTCATTTGACGAGGGAAGGTTTGCATTATGCTGGACAAACATTGAAACTGTAAATTAGAGTAAGCATGACAGTTTTAACATTACTTAACCCAGGAAAATGCAGAAGATGATTGTGCTGATGTAGGTGAATTTATCCAGTGGGAAGAAGGTTTAAGTTCTTTCACTCTAGTTGTTGCTTGTAGCGTGCTATAACAAGAAGGAGAAGTTAGCCATCAGACACATGGATTATGCTACAACCATCTTAATCACATATCTTTTTCTCTAAGAGGTAACAAGGGACTAGGAATGCCTACTGGATTCCATTTGTTTAACTTTAGACTGTGACATGAAATTCTGCTAAAGCAAGAATAAACATCGATAAAAAGGATAAGCATCTAATGCACAAAGCAAAACGGAACCCGGAAAAGGAGTGCGAGGATTGAGGAGACAACATAAGCAAAAGAAAATTTGGAAAAGATAACCTCAATATCTGATTCGAAACACATGATTCATAGGCCGCAATTTCAAGACTGACTAATGAAGTTTTACCAAGAAGTGGGTGTTATTAGGGCATGTGCATACAAACAACGAGTCAGGTCAAGCCTCACAAATTCATCTTTTTCGTTCATTACTTTTGTTTTTTCCCTGGCGTTGTCTACAAAATGCCTCTTTTGACATGGACATCCCCAATTCACTTCTCTAACATTTTTTCAAATGATGAGGATCGTCACAACTTAACACGACTGATATTTGTATCGTCGCTAACTATGTTGATTGAGCTACAAGATGAATCTATGTTTCACCACAATACCCAACACCCACCCTATTCTAGTCCTGTTGATGACTTGCCTCCAATTCTCAGTTCTACCAGCGGAAATAGAGAAAAGTGGCTTGATTCAGTACAATTCTATAGCCTAAACCATAACGAGCCAAGATTGAACTGAAGACAACCATAATTAGGAAGACCCATTACCTCAGCAATCGGCTCTTTCAAAGCTTTCCGGGTAACCCGAAACCTGATCCCGAGCTTCTCGAGCTGTCTCGAGAGGACCCGAATCATAGTCGCGGAGCTCCTCAAGTCCTCCTCCAGCTTCTCAATCCTCTCCACCAAGTTCACATTCGCACCGCCCACTGTCCCCGGCTGCTCAAAGACCCTCCTCCACTGACGCCGCCTGACCCACGCGCCGCTCGCCACGCCACCCACCAACGCCACCACCACCCACCCCAAAACCCTGTCCCCCGCCGCTCCGAAGACCGCCCTCCTCGCGGCGAAGACGACCGACACGACGGCCGCCGACACGAGGCAGAGCAGCTCGGCGACCGAAAGGAAAGAATCGAAGTCGAGATGGCCCGCGCCCTCCTCCCCGTGCACCGCGCCACCGGACGGGTACGCTCCGACCCGGAAACGGCAGCTCCTGAAGGAAGCCGAGGCGCGAAGCGAATTGGGCGAATCGGGCGGATTCTTGCGCAGGACGATGCGGAGCTCCGGGGTCGAGGGGGTGGAGTGGTGCTGGGAGGCGAGCGGCGGGAAGAGGCTGGAGGGTCTGAGAGGAGGGGAGGCCTTGGCGGAGCGGTGGGAGAAGCGGGAGACGGCGGCGCTCCGCCGCTGAGGCGGTGGGAGGGAGAGTGACATGGTCTGGCCGAGAAGGGGGGAGGTCAGGGTTCTTCTAGCGGCATGGATGGATGGGTGCGAGCTTCTTCCTGATCAAGAACGATGCTGCGAATATGCAGAAGCAGATGGTCTTTGGTCGCGCAGAGGGAGGGAGAGTAGTGTGTGTGTGACAGAATTTGGCGATGGATACGATGGTGAACTTGGTGGGCAGTGTGGCCTAGCCGCGCATGATAGCTTGAACGTTTGACTTTTCTCGGGGGAATGTCATTGTCACGTATGATCACTGAATTTTGATATAATATATAATATGATTCTTAAATTTTAAATTTATTTAATGTAGCCTCTAAATTTTGGTTTATTTTGTATATGTTTAATTTAATTCATGAACTGTACGTGGTGGTGGGGTTTTGTGGAACTAGATAGTAGGATTAAGGGGTAAAAGATATGAAGGAAGAGTAATAGTCTTTTTATTTGTAGGAGTTGCAAAGTGGTATTCTTAAACAAAAGAAGGCGAAATGTAGTCATCGATTGAGAACTTATATATGTTTTTAGTGTTTTTCTTTTTTGCATTGATAGCACATGAATTTATGCTTCTGAGATGACCCCAAAAGAAAATATATATTTAACGGTTTGGTCGGGCTTGAATGATGGATACGGGCATGCTTATTACTTGGGCAACTTGTTTCATCAGAGCAGCGATAAGCTTCAATGTCACGGAAACAGTGAAGTGGTCCGAGTTCCTTCCTAGCAAATTCCAATGGCAGCTGAGTGATCAAAGATTGTAACAAGTGAGGAGTATCATCAGTGACAATGACGTTATCAACATATAGCAGAAGATATAAATGGCCCCGAGAGGAGAGGAACCATAGATGAATAACGACTGATCGGTTTTACTCGCTATCAATCCCAACGATAATAAAAATCTGCTGAAGTGGTGATATCATGCACATGGAGCCTGGTTTAAGCCATAGATGGCTTTCCATAGACGGCATAAGTGATTTGGGAAGTTAGGATGAGGGAAATTAGGAGATTGGCACACATGAACTTTCTGAAGAAGGACGCCGTGTAACAGGCATTTTTAACGTCAAGTTGACAAATGGCCCATCCTAAAGAAATCGCAATAAAGAGACAATTGCAGGGGGTTTAACAATCGGACCAAAGATCTCGTCATAGTCCAGTCCGCCCTACTGCTCAGATCTTTATGCAACAAGGCAAGTTTTGGCGAGTTCAAATATTCGATTCCTTGACCTTGAAATCCATTCACAGCTGAGTAAATTCTTAGAAGGATTAGGTGGTACAAGATCCACATGTGGTTGGCGACCAAAGTGTTAAAATACATCTGTCATGGCCGCTTTCCAAAGTGGGTTAAGAATGGACTTAGATTAACAAATCGGTGGCTCTTCATGAAAAGATAGGGAGAGATTAAGAATTTTTTTAGATTTAGAAATTTCGGTTTGGCATGAGTTTGCATAAGCTAAGTGGAAAGAGAAACAATGGGAGTGCGGGAGCTAAACAAAGAGGCAGAAAGGATTTTTCGGGTGTATTGCGAGAGGAATTGGGCAAGGGTAGGAGTCGTGTTCGACATAGTAAGCGGGGTTGGAGGGTAAAAAATGGAAGCGTGTTGGGTGGGCCGAGAGTTGGAGAGAGGCGGGTTAGAAGGCTAGGCTAGAGAAGAGGAGAAAGGCGAATGAGAAGTTGAGTTTGATAAAAAGAGATAAGACCATAGGAGGGAGATGCAGAATGGGCTGATTGAAGGAAAGACAAAGAGAAGGGGCTGATCGGGACAGTGGGTTACGGGACTAAGGATTGAAGGATTTTGTGAAAATGGAAAATTTTCCTCATCAAACCGAACATGATGGTTTATAGAAATGCGACCGCCTAACCGATCAAGACAACAATAGCATTTGCAATTCGAAGCTTTTCTAAGAAATACACATGGCAGAGAATGAGGCGCAAACTTATGGGAAACACAAGACGGAAAAAAGAATAACAAACACACGCAAAGAATGAAGGAATGAGTAATCAAATGGGAACCCATACAAAATAGTGGAAAGGAGAAAATACCAAACAGGATAGGAGTGGGAAGCTGATTAATAGTGTAAACAGCAATTTGAAGAGTATCAACTTAAAATAAAGAAGGCATAGAGCATGGATCGATAAGGCTCGAGACACTTCAACTAAGTGTTTGATTTTGTGTTTTGACAAGCCATTTTGAGTAGGGTATCCGGACAAAAAACACGTTGAAATACCATTGTCATATAAGTATGTTGCAAATGAATTAGTGTCGTATTCACCCCCACCATCGGCTTGTAAAAATTTAATTTTGGTATTGCATAGATTTTTGATAAAACAATGAAAGAGATAAAAGTGTGGAGGCACCTCAGATTTACATTTCATGGGAAAGACCCAAGTGAGCCGAGAGTAGTTATCAATGATTAAGACAAAGTATTTAAAATCAGAATTTGGTATGTACACGTCCAAACATCAGGATAAATTACAACCAAGGGAAAAGAAGCCCAATGCCTAAGAGACTCAAAAGACAGTCGAAGAGATATGTCCTCGTGACAAGACTCACAAGATACTCACTTACAATTAGAATTGGCGAACATGGCTCATAATGTTTATTAGGATGACCAAGACAAGCATCTCATCAAGTGAAAGAGACAAAAGACACCTCGATAGGATGCAACTGAGATGGTACCAATAAGTTGGAAATCGGATAGAGACCATGAGAGGAGTCAGTTTGGAGGTGAACTTTCCCTATTCATTGGTCTCTCAAAAGAAAATGATGAACCATTAAAATCAATAATATAGGAAGTATGGCAAAGTTAAGTAACTAAGAGAAGATTGTGAGCAAGATTAGGGATATGATAGATAGGAGATAACAATAAGGATCAACAACCGGTACGTAAAAAGGTTTTACCAAATTGCTTAATAGGCAATAAAAATCGTCACCAACCATAACTTTTATCAAATCGGGGTTGAAGGTTTAGGATTTTACCAACGTTACTAGTCATGTGGGTTGACGTTCCATTGTCAAGATACCACATGGGATTAGTATTCTCACCAATCGAAAGAGTTGGGAAGGAACCTAGGAGATCATTGGTGGTGAGGCATGGCTAAACCACTATTGACATTTTGCAGTGTGCCCAACCCCATTACAGATGACAAATAAGATAAAGCCTAGATCCAAAAAAAGCTTCCCTAGGTGCATGGGAGAGCATAGGGCCTTAAACCATAATTAGACCAACCAGATGATGTAGAGGAACGACCAATATAAGGGGCTGCTGATGAGTGCAAACTAAACCAATCATAGGAAGATTGCAAGCCTTAATGATCACACGAGAACTGTCCATCATGTCCCCGACCAAATTTCTAGCCCTTAAAGTTGAGTCCATCCCAAGGCCCTAATAAAGTAGGAGTGGGTGAAGTGGCATGCCAATCAAAGCATAATGAATATTGGATGAAGATGAGATATTGGATTTTTGGAGAAATCGTTTTCTTTGATGAGGAGTCGAGAGAACATAACACCAGAGGAAACAATCGCAGAGTTGTTAGTAACCATAGTGACAAAAGGATGTACTAAGGAGGGAGCCCATTGAAGACTTGAATTACCAAATCCTTATCAGAGGTGGAGTAATTATTTGCGGTGAGAGAGTCCACAATTGACTTGAGATGTTGACTAGTCTGATTTCTTCATGGCGTTCTGGAAAACAAATATTAGTCCAATTTTCTTAGCTGATAGCAATTTGTAAAGTGTCTCTCGAGATGTCTAAAGGTCAAAATCTCGACTGTGTGGCCGAATTGATCAAACTAAGAAGACATTAATCTATTTTAACCTAGATGAAATAGGAGAGATTGAACACCATAGTGCCATTGTGATTAGTGACAAGTTTCGACGGACACAAAAAAGACCCATCTACATGGCCAGCAAATCTTTGCAGATTAAAATAAGATCAAACTGATATTTCCACAAAAGATTGTTATCTATATTAAGCTTGATGGAAACAAGACTGGCAACGTTCGGAAACACAAGAGATGGCGAGGCTGAGTGCACGATTGGAGTTTGAGCTGTAGGGAAGGGGGTAGAAGAGGTGGAAGTGAGCGCAATGTTGAGGAGAGGTGATTGGGAATTGGGATTAATGGAGATAGAAGATGATGGGCATACTCCTTACCAAAAAAAAACAAAAAGAAGATGATGGGCATACAGATGGTAGAGAAGAAAAAACTGAAGATGCCTCATACATTGTTGAGATAGAAATAGGAGCAAAGAAAACGTGAATTTGGGGTAGGGATGTTGAAGAATTTGATGCGTTTTTCTGTTTTGATGTGATGTTGATGTTCATAGTTAGAAAGAAAATAATGACAAGGTGTTTATGATGGCTCAACCTTAATTAGGATTGCATGGTATGTAATTATAAAAGTGACTAATTTCAGTCATGGTACAAATGAAAACATAATTATAGATTGACCCCATAGTACATATCAAGTACATATTAGTAACTGCATCCATTTCATATTGGAAAATTTTTCAATTGTGTGCATAAACTTAGATTAGTAAGTTTAAACACATATCTTGACCATTTGGCCCTCCGCCCCCAACATTCAAGGAGCCCGGTTTGAGCCGTTTGATTTCTTTTTTGAGTGGTAGCGGCTGTTTTCGTTTTTCTTTTCATGTTCTTACATAATTTTATCTACTTCTTGTGATTACTTTAATAGGTAAGATATTTATCTAATAGAACTAGGATTATCTACAATTCATTCACGTGAGAACCGGATATCAAGATTTAATTCTCTCCAATTATCCTGTCAACAGATGATTGACTTGACCTCCGTATCACCTATTATTTGACAATATTTTTCGATATAAAGCGCACAGTGTCTAGTAACCAGGGGTACAAGTAGGCAAGTTAGTTACTAGACACTGTGCGAAGCACAAGCCAACCTGCAGGAAGCCTAAGCTTCCCCTTCTGTAACTCTAGGTGCGGGAGGCTATTACATCTATTTACCCAGAAGTAATCAACTAAAGTTGACGTGGAGTCTACCTTCCCTACCAAGAAAGCCCCTTAGTTCCCTCCATTTATTTGTCTTCTCTGGAGAGAGAGAATACGGAGAGAACTTACGGGCATATCCTTCCACCATACTGGGGAGTTCATTCCCATGTCTATCCTTGAGTTTTTTAAGGACCTGCTCAAGTCCAAAATGATTATGTTTCGACTAATATCTTAAAATTTGAAGATATCTATTGGGTTCACACTTCTTTGGTGCGCGCATCTACCACAAAATTTTTACATAAATTCCACTACCCCCTCGGTCATATCAAGTTCGTCTAATATTTTTTTTTTAAATGATAGATGCAACCAAAAACCCTAAGCTATACCCAATCCTAAACTATTTTCTGTGATATCAACAATCCCAAACTTATAACTGCGTGGCACATTTACCCTCTGTTAAAGTTATGTTAATGAGAACTATTAAAAATCTGCCAACATGAACGCCAGAAAGCAAGCGATGTTGACATGTCCACATGGCTTGAGTGAAAGAAAAACGACGTTATTTTGACTGAAAAATCATCTAACAGAACCTTGATGGAGGGCAAATGTGTCATATAAGTACAAGTTTAGATTAATGTGTCACAATATGCATAGTTTGGGTTTTTGATGTAAAAAAAATGTTCAAGATAAATGTGTCACAATAAACATAATTTTGGATTTTTGTGACTTTTTCTCTAAAAAAAATTGGGGAAACATCTTCACTTGTTCTATTTTTTTGATTGGCGACGATCTCATTATTGAGTATTGACAATGAGAACAATGTGTTTCCTTTTTACTTTTTTGTGCATATGGTTGTAGTACTATCAATCATTGCTCTTATGAAAATTGTTGCAATCATAAAAAGTGGACCAATTTGGTGGTGGCTTCTTCCTTATTTTCCTCCCGCCTACTACCAAATGCCTATTTGCCCAATGATTCGTCCACATAAGATGGGTAGGCAAACTGCATTGCACAGTACAGTGTACAGAGAGATCGCTCTCATCAACTTCCAGATGATTGCAACACTTGTTTACATGAAACCTGAAGAGAATGGTCTGTGGTGGATTGGAACATTCGGTAAAGAAGTGGATTAGTATAGTGATACCATCATCAACTAACTATATGGGACCTAAATTTCTGATCTCATGGAGAAACTGAATTGCAGAGAGAGACCCAAAAGGTTAGGTGCACAGTTCAGTTCAAACCAGGATCCAATCTGGGTGCAGTCAACTTCGCTGGTGGCTTCCTCAGCATTTTCCCTAACAAGGTCACTAGTTTCTAGAAGAGTGCAGAGCAATAGCAAGCAAATCTTGTCCCGTGATCAACTACTTTTAATTCATCACGAGCCCAAGAACCACAGTTAGAAAAGTGCATAGCATCCACGTATGACATGACAACCATGGAAAGTTCGAAATGATAAAGAAATTAAGGAGAAAAATAAAGTTCCACACCAAGGTCTAAAACCATTGGCAAAATTAAGACTTATGAGCCTCATTGGAGGCAAAGCAATGGCAAAATTTGATCTGGATTTTCCCAAACAACAGCTTTGAAACATGCAGACAATCGCGTACGACAAGTTCGAACAGGGTCAATGTTGAGGAATGTGCTTGCTTAATAAGCAGAAACATCGGAAGAGAGAGAGAGAGAGAGAGATTGGCAGGACCAATTCACATAATTCAATTCATCCATGCACCGCAAGTCTGCAATTCTGTTTAAAAGTGCAATATGCACTGCAGGCGCATGAACTCGCCTTTCTTCTAAGAACAAAGATTTCATTACAAGATGCTCAGACAAAATTATTGTTTGTCTAAATCCTAATCCGGGAGATCCATAAATCAGGGTGCAACAGCAAAGCAAACCACAAGGCAATGCCTTCTCGAATATATAGAATCATCCCTGCCGGGCACGTTGTAGTCCACATAATCTCTCTCTCTCTCTCTAGACATGTCTGCAGCTACTTCATTGATATATCAAGACAAGAAAATCCTATATGGCTCAGCTGCTTCCAGGAGTGTCAGTTACAGCAGACTTGCGGTTCAAATAACGAATGACAGCATCCTCAACCCTGTAATTTCAACCGAAAAAAGATTTACGAAAAAAAGTCTCTTCGGCAATACATTGTCTAAAACATGACTACTTAGAATCACATCACAGAAGAAAAGATTAAGACAGAGGAATGACTAGCTAAAAAGTACAATATGAGACATTCAGCAAACGCATTAAAACCAGAACCCGATTCACAGTGTTAATAAAAAAAGGGTTCCCGTTCTAATTATCTGACAATTAATGCAATTGAAATCCTTACAGGACGACAAATATGGTGAACAATCAACATTGACAGTGTCTCAAAGAAATCAGGAGTGTGATAATGAACTACAATAATCCATCATTGACATGTAAGGAATATCCCTCATATTGATCGGATTTGCCCGACATTTTCTCATCAATTCAACATGAGTACAAAGCACATTAGGCATAATGAATTTTCAGAACAATCACCATCTAGAGGAGAAAAGATCCAACAAAAATCTGAGACAAACCATCAGAAAAGTTGGTCCATTGATCAGGTTTTACAGCAAATTTTGCACTTTTTATGATACTTATTCCATGACTTCAACAATGTAATGTTATTAGTGAGTAATTTATAAATTTAGGCAACAAGACGCTCAAAAAGCAGGTGTTGCTTGATCGAACAGGGCATTCGTGCAAAATACCAAGGAATATCCAGCTTCGTTTTCTAGAGAAAAAATTAGCTTCTCATTCAAAATGCACTATAAATTACTTCTATCTTTCGTATTTCACTGTACTCCATATCGCCTCCATGAGATGCATACATAAAAAACGGACAAGAAAATTAAACAAACTCACCAAGATTGGTTATAGAAGTCAGGATGATGTTCTTTGTCCACAATATGGCTCGCATCTCCCGCCGAAAGCTTCAAGTCTCTGCTTTGAGAAGCAATCAACGCATTGACGAATTCTGCCGGTGACTGACTGAACCCAAGAAAGAATGAGCGTCTCTGCCGATGGCTATGGATATCTTTTATTGCGGAAATGATCTTATCGTCACAAGAATCAATCTCATGATGCTTCTCGATGTTTGCCAAAAATGCAGACATTTCCTTGTCCAATGGGATAGGCAAATCCATCATCACATCACAACAAGTAGTTCCGGCAGGAGAACTACCAGAAAGCTTGATCCTGTGCTCCAAGTGAATGGGTTGTGGAGGAGTCAAGTGCTGCGACAACTTCTGCGGAACCATGACAAACTTCATCTTCTCGTCTCCAAATACTTTTTGAAGTGGCGGATCACACATGAAGAAGGATGGATCACCTGAGCTCTGCAGGTTCCTGGTCTTAACATAGTGCCAAATTGCTTCCAAAACTCTAGGCCGTGTAGATACATCAAGACCAACAACATCTGATAAAGCAGGTGAAAGCTTGAACTTTTCAGGCACGTAGTTCATGTCTAATCTTATATGCACAGTGAATTCCTTGTCCCCATTTCTTTTGACCTCAAATCCCTCATGCAGAGAAGGAGACCTCTCACTATCCCATAAGATTACATGGTTATCTGGATAGAGACTTTGGTCCAAGTAAATGGTAATTTTCTTGAAGAAAGACGAAAATTTGGGGTTCGACAGACCTGCCTTCTGAATCATTCCACCCACAACAGGATCTTTACCATCCTCTAATATCCTTCCAATAATCTTAAGCGACCATGATGGTGACTCTACATCTGTCTTCTCTGAAGTCGTTGGAGTTTGATTCGAAAATGTGTTGAAAACATATATCCTAAGCGTTTTCTGAAAGCGGGAAGGGTTCTTAAGTGCCTCTTGAATTTCAATCTTCTTCCTTGACAAAAGGGCGTCCACTCTTGCCTCATATTCAAGCAATTGAGTGTAGATGGCAGATTCAGGCAACAGTGCAGCCACCTTACCGGGCAGTTGGTTCTCAGGAAGCTTCCTCTTCTTCCTAGGACCGGCTGGAGTTAACTCCATCGTTTTCAACAGCGAAGCAGCGGCAACATTGGACGACCCTGGAGGCCGAGAAGGCGGCTTCTGACCGGTGCGCTTACCACTTCCAGTACCAGGCGTAGCAACAGACGGTAAAGATGTATTGACATTGCTAGCGCCAGCATTACCGGCATTGTGATTCTGAAACTGAGCTTGGAATTTGGCATGGGGGGCTTGCGGTTGCGCATGCCCCTGAGCAAGCACATGAGCTTGGGGCTCGGACAACTTGAAGTGGCCGGGAAAATGAGACCCGCCATGCGTTTGAGGTTGCGACTGCGGACGGAGATTGGCCGGCTGCTGGTGGACTACCCCAGGATTCCCAAATACAGTATTTTTAATCCCACTATTGTTATTCATTGAGTGACCTTATTTCTATTCCACAGCACTAAATACTAATGATTCTGCAGAATACAAGCCTTACATACAATTCCGAGTCGAGGCACGATCAAGGGTCGCATAAATCTACGATCTTGCATTCAACGACGGAATCTTTACGATCCTCGACACGTTATTGAGCACAAAAACCCTACGTTCCCACGATTTCTTACCCAAAAGAATCGAGAGAAACCTGGAGATCGCTTCCAAGATCGAATTTTTCCTCGATTTTACGGAAAATCTTCCAGACAAAGTGTGGTTTTCGACGATTTGGAGAAGTTAAATAAGGGATTGAGAGAAACTCTAGAGCGGAGACATACGCTGGTCGCCTGTCGGAGAGGCCGTCGCTCAGATCCAGCTTCGTACCCGCAGCTCCCGTCTCCTTCTCAGGCCACGCAGACGCCGTCTCTCTCTCTCTCTCTCTCTCTCTCTCTCTCTCTCTGCGATGGTTTCTCGCCGGAGGTACAGTCGCAGGCGGCGGCTTGGGAGAGAGCTTGAGCTACGTAGTGTTTGTTTTGGTGTTCTCTTGGAGCGGCTTCCACCGGTAAAAATCCTACTTGTTAAAAAGATTTTTGGGAAAATTTCAAATAAGAGTAAGAAATATAATCATTTTTTACTTTTATTTTTAAATAATGATCTTTTATTTTTTAATCTTATTTTAAATAAAAGCCTGAAGTGATCAAATCGTTTAAAATGAGAACATGAAGTAGCCAAATTATCTCAAATAAGGAGTTTTGATCAACCGGCCAACAAGTGACTATTCCGAAGAGAGTACTTCAGTCAAAAAATTCTAAATATAATTTTTTTATGTTTTTACTTTCCTTTTTTGTCTTAGTGATGGCTGGTAGAGGTTGCCGGTCTTAGGTGAGAACCACCCTTGCCGTCGTCGCGAGGGCGCCGCACGGGGCAGCGATTTCGAGAGTCGCCCTCACTTGAAGGTGGGGCGAGAGCCGCCCTCATATGGGTTGGCGAGGGCGGCTCTCACTTGAGGCCGGCGTAGGAATGAGGGAAAAAGGAAAAAGAAAAAGGAAAAGAAAAAACAAAAAAAATGAAAGAAAAAAAGAAAACAAATTCAAATAAGTAGAGAATAAAAATGTCCTTTGGCCAACTAGATCAGACCTTTCTTCGAAATTGATATGGCAATTTCAGGTCCTTATTTAAAGCAAAATCCACACCATGCTCTTATTTGAGAAAATGACGACACTTTATGTCCTTATTTAGAATTTTCCAAAAAAAATTTACCAAAAAAATGATTTTTTTAATAGGAAAAAAATATCAAAATAAAATTCGTCCTTTTTTTTTCTCATCATCAAATACGTTTCTATTGCCTCCTCACTTTGCTTTTCAAACATTAGTATGTTATTATTATGATAGCAATAATAATCAAAATAAAAATATATTAAATAAGGACAACAACAACAATTATATCATTATTATTTTTATATGGTACAAATTGTTTATTGCAAAAGTTCCGATAATACAACCATAAACGTGGGTAACAACTCTAAAACAATGTTATAGGTCTTCTTCGTTAAGTTAATTATGTGTGGCTAACTCATATGTTTCGACACAGCACAAAAAAATCACAACACTGCCACAACACAGTTACAGTTATACAGAACAGGCTCTAGGCTATTACAATTTATTCTACAATTAGCATTATTCTTGTACCTTCAGCACGATGCGAATAAAAACATATATAATGATCTTACTTAAAATTGTATACAATTGTAAAGTTAAATCATAAATAACCTTTAGTAAACGTCCAGAAAGAATAACAATACATGAATAAAGAATTTGTATGTTTATATATTTTTTGCTTCGAAAATGTCTTGTACTCTACGGGTTAGAACTGGTGCAAATTAAAGAGTGACAAATGGCTCAATTATATGGTTTGCAAAGTAGATATTTTATTAAGTTACCAAGATATATAGTAAATCAATACGTAAACAAGAAAATTAGTGTCTATTCTAATTACTGATAAGTCCGAAAAATATTTTGAACCCACTAAAATTATTAGTGAACAATATCGAAGGCTAGGAAAATCTCAATTCAGTAAATTTAAAGCTTGAAAATTACCAAATAAGTAATTCGGAGCATACCAGCCATTTCTATAACTAATATGGTGGTGAATCAATTATCATTGTCCTACATCACTATTGTGCACGTCAACATCTATCAATTTAATTCTAACGTATCGGACTCCGGCGATTACGATTGCGGAAAATTGTCCTTCGCACATTCCACACCTCACAAAATTAACGACCTACATGCCATCCGAAATTCCAAGCTAAATAAATCTTAAATTTATATCCTAAATATTATTACCGAACATAGAAAATTTCAGAGGTCACAACTTTTCCCTCCTTAAAAATGCACAACCGATTGGACTTTTGTTGGAATCTAAAGATATATTATTGTATCTGCTAACCTTAATAAATTCAACAAGGAAGCTCGATAAAACAACAATACATACCGCGGAATGAAGGTTTTGGTTTTTATTTTATTTTATTTAAGGAATTATATCGCTATCGTCCCTTTATTGTCCAAAAATCCAAATCATCATTCTATAGTTTTTTTATAAAATAAACGTCCCTCAACTTTTTAGAAAATGTCAATATATAGTCCTTCAATTATACGTTTTCTCTTATTGGTTGATTTTTGTTGATTGCAGAATTAATGACATAGACACTGGCGAATGCACATGTCGCGCAAGAATACACATGTCTTGTAATGATTTGTCGAAAATTATTATGAGCCAAAAAGGCGGTACATCAAACAATATAAGAGAAAACAAAATTGAGAGAGAGATGGACTTCCATCTCGACCGCCATAGCCGCAAACTCAAGCTCTAAGCTTGCGGCACAACCATTGGAGTTTTGAGTTGCGAAGCTCGAGGCATTGCTGCTCAATATAAGCTCGCAGTCAGGGCAGCTCAATTGGCGATCGTTAGCGGTTTTGAATCATAATTTTTGTATAGTTGTGGATGTTTTGTGGTTTTCTTCAAGTTTATCATTTTTTTAGGGTTAATATTACGAAAAATCGCAAACTAATACACCTGTGACAAATTTACCATAAATTAATTTTTGACCACTAAAAACCCTAAATTGGTACACCTGTGACAATTTTATCCAAACTAATTTTTTGACCACAAAAAACTCCAAACTGGTACATTTGTGACAAATTTACCCTCTATTAGTTTCAGTTAAATTGGATTACTGCAAAAAAAAATCACAAACTAGTACACTTGTGATAAATGGAGCGTAAAACTTAAAACCAGTATATTCGTCAATTACCGCATGTCATTTAACAAAGTAATTTAACAGTAAAATTTAACGGAAACTAATACAGGTTAAAATTATCACAGATATACCAGTTTGTGGTTCTTTGTGGTAAAAAACATTAGTTTTGGGTAAAATTTCTTCAAGTTTAATCCTTTCTTTTATTTTGTTTTTATTAAACTTACATTTAAGAAATCTTACTTAGAGGGATTAAAGAAAATCCCAATTACTAGATTTTATTCCAAATTTCCCAAAGAAACCGGATGAACAATTTATCCGGTTCCCTTGGGAAAATTTAGCCGTTGTATAATCATTTCAATTTATCTAATTAGGAAGTTTGAGGATATCTCTCCTATATTAGAAAACATGGAATTGTGATTATAATTCTATTGGACTAACCCATCTTACTTCTTCTGTCAATTCTATTTAGGAAAGTCAAATTGGAAGGATAAGTTCGACCGAATCCGACCATAATTGGTAACCGCATGCGACTCATGAAACCTACTCACTCAAGACTACGCAATCTCCTCTGCTAGTCCGATTTCTAGGTTTTTGTTACTTCGGGAAAATTGCCAAAACAATCTTAAACCTATTGTAATTGTGCCAATTCAGTTAAACTTTTTTTTTATCAATTCAATCCTAAATCTTTTGTATTTGTGCCATTTCAGTCCATCCGGCCAATTTTGGGTGGCCGGCGCTAACTTGAACGCCGGCCATCCGGTTTTTTAAATCGTAATTTTTTTTTATTTTTTAAAAAAAATTTGATTTATTTATTTTTTCCCCTTTTTTTTTTCCTTTTTTTTTTTTGCTTTCCTTCTTCCCCTCGCCGTCGCCGGGCAGGTCGCCGCCCTCCAGGCCAACCGGGCGAGGTCACCCTACCATGGCCGATCCGGCAAGCTCGTATGGCGAGGGTGAGATCAAACTTGCCCAACCATGGCAAGGGCGAGCTCACCTCGCCATTGCTGGGCAAGGTCGTCGCCCTCTCCATGGCTGATCAGGGAGGTCGCCCTACCATGGCCAAATCTGGGCGAGCTTGGCCATGGTGAGGGCAAGCTCGACCTCCCCCAAGCTCGCCCTTGCCATGGCCGACCTTGCTTGTGACAGTGTGGTCGTCGCCCTCGCCAGACCACCTCGCCGACCCTAGTCCCTGGCCGGTTCGGCAATCGGTGACCGGCTAGGGAAAGAAGGAAAGCCAAAAAAAAGAGAAAAAAGATAAAAAAAATTGCCACGTCAGCGTCGATCGGACGGCCGGCGTCAACGTTAGCGTTGGCCAGCCAAAATTAGTCGGATGAATTGAATTGGCACAAATGCAAAAATTTTATGACTGAATTGGCATAATTACAATAAGTTCAAGATTGTTTTGATAATTTTCCCTTGTTACTTCTGACCTCTCCCTAGCCTCTTCATTTTCATGATAAAAAATGATCCCATGAAACTCCCGTATCTTTCCAACCTTTTGAATTTTGGATTTCATTTTTTTCTCTCTACTCGGGCAGGTGCAAGGTTGGTAGCTGAAGATATTGCGCAAGGATGTCAGGAACAAGGACGGAGCATGCTCATGGGATTGTGACTGAGATTTTCAGCTCGAACTGTGCTAGAAGCTTCGGCAAGCTGGAAGCCATACATAAGCCCTAGCATCGCGAATGCAAAGCTTCTCTCTCCAATTCGGATAACCAGAGAGTCTCTTGACATTGGCCATTGAAGGTCACCGACGCGGCAGCTGCTCATCATTACGTGAGTTACGGCCTGAACATATAGTTTGACCACAAACTACCTTACTCGCCAGACTGGGAGTGGATCTTCATCGCCATGACCCATCATCATCACAAGCAATCTAGCACAGTTCAAGCCGAAAATCTCAGTCACGGTCCCATGAGCATGCTCCGTCCTGGTCTCTGACATTCTTGCGCAATATCTTCAGCTACCAACCTTGAACCTGCCAAAGTAGAGAGAAAAAACGAAATTCAAAATCCAAAAGGTTGAAAGATACGGGAGTTTCATGGGATCATTTTTTATCATCAAATGAAGAGGCTGGGGAGAGGACAGAAATACCAGAAACCTAGAAATCAGACTAGAAGAGGAGATTGCGAAGTCTTGAGAGAGTAGGTTTTATGAGTCGCATGCGGTCACCAATTATGGTCGGATTCGGTCGATCTTATCCATCCAATTTGACTTTCCTAAATAGAATTGACAGAAGAAGTAAGATGGGTCAGTCCAAAAGGACTATAATCACATTTCCACGTTTTCTAA